TATTTGCTTACCTACTTCACAGGAGTGAGAGGCAGTTGCATTTCAAGAGTAAACAACAGTTCTTGTTGAGAGACAAACTTCATTTCACACTCAGCAACTCGATGCAGGTGGCTTGGGGAAGATGCAGCAGATGATGTGATCTCTGCCAACTGTTTTGGCCAAACTCATCTACTCCTATTAACACTTTGTCACTGCATATAATTATGTTGTTGTGGGGAAAATTTTAGTTGTGGCACAATCAATACCTTTAGGTATCAAAAGACAATAGTTAATTTAAGAGACTTCTGCTTAGCATTATTCTTCCAGCTGTCATTAACCCATGTGTCCAAAACAGTGAAAAGCAGGAGTAATTTTTTCATTGCTTGATCTCTCTACAGACACTGGCAGGAGTGGGCAAAGTAGTATCAGTAAAACAGTCCTGTGATATGGATTTTTATCCCCTGAGAAACCAGGAGAGACATTTTCTAGACTGAAAATTTTCTTGAAATAGAAAGATCACTACAGCTGCAGAATGTAGGCCTAGACTGATTTCAGCTTTCCTCTCATTCTGGCACTAATTTGCATTGACTCTCTGTAGTGTTTTCTCCATGAAGGAGCAGGGATCTGCCTTATACCTCATTTTCCATTAAACAGTAGCAAAATGCAAAAAACAGTTCCTCATTTAAATTAGTTCCCTACTGAAATGAGTTACATTCCACAGGCACCCTCCTCAAGGGCACCTGGAGGAAAACCTATTCAGACTCCTTTTTAAAAATATGACAACTGAAAATCTTCCTCCTTTCAGTTTCTACACCTCCCTGCCGTGGAAGAGAGTGTGAAAGGCAAAGGGTTAAATATTCAGGATAAGCATATGCAAAAGCAGCAATGGCTGCAGCTTTTAATTTCCCCCACCAGTGTCCCTGTTGTGCTCCCAGTCTGACTGGTTGGATAAGACATTTTAATGGTTCAGAGTTCAGGCTTCAGCCTATATAATCCTCCTCATTCATCAATGAGAAGGCCTTTCCTCCTGCTTACTGAAGTGACAGAAGTCATTTATTGTCCTGTGAAAAACAGACTTTTCCTGCTATGTCTTTTATTGTATGTGCATCCACAAAGAAAACATTGCCTGTTTGACATCCTCTATCCTTCTCTATTTTTTCCTTATGATTAAGCACGCTGAAAGGCAGCAGACTGGCAGTTTTATTAACATAACCATCCTCTTTATCTCCAAGACAGCTGGAGCACATGTAGAAACCATCCTAACCACACACAGCTGCTGCACCATAGCCTCAAGATGGGTTCTGGGACTAAGCAGTGAACTTATTATTTTCACCTTCTAATATAAGACTTAAAACTGTGGCTTATAGCTGATAGACTGTGACTGATCTTTTGGTCAACGTAAGCCCACAGAGGTGTAGAAACTCGGAAGCTAAGGGGCTAATGTGTAAGTCTCAAACAACAACAGCCAGGCAGCTGCAGAGCCAAGCAAGGATAGTTGGTAACAACACACTGTGAGAAAGAACAAGATGTGGCTGGGGAAGGGGCATGCAGAGGAAGGACAGCACTTTTCTGGGACACACACCCTTGATGTAGTTTCTGCAGACAGGCATAACATGGCACAGCAGAGGGATGATCTTAAAGCGAAACAAAACCTCCCATCATTATCCTAAGCATCTTATGATGCTCTGCCTCATGAGCTTTGCCTCTCAAAGTAGCAGGTTTTCTTAAGAAAAATTACAAGCCTATTTTTTTAATGGCAACTCTGTTGTGATTTTCAGTTCATCCCTGAAGTATTTCTTATTTGAAATTTCCAAAGGTTCCACCATATGAAAATAAATAAAGTAGAAAACTGAAATGGCCTAATGATTAGGCATCAATCTTCATCAGCTAGCTGAAGATCCAGTAATTTGCTAGCACTTCCTTTATTCAGGGATTTTACTCAGCTGCTTTAGAATCCCTGCAAAACTTTAGCAACACAATGCTCTGTCTGATAAAGTTGCATTCATGCAACTTAGGTGAATAAATACTTGATTTTATTTTGAAGACAGAGTCTCAGCTTCAAACCAGCTACTCAGTTGGCAGTGAAATGAGTGGTGATTGCAAGAGATGAGCAAGTCTGCTGCATAATGAGAATACTAATATACCAAATAATTAAAAACAGAACTAAGTTTGTGTTTGTGAGGATGAAAAAAAGGATAACAAGAGACAGCCCAAACCATTCAAGGTCTGGATATTGATCTGGAATGGGACATGACTTGGACCATGGACAATTCAGAAATGGGACTCTGCTATAAACCAGATAATTCCTATCTATTAACTCTTGACAAACCTTGAGTCCTGTTTGCTATAAACCAGATAATTCATATCTATTAACTCTTGACAAACCTTGAGCCTTGTTGCTCTTTCTCCAGAAAAAAATCTAACCTGATTTCACCTAGTGCTGCAAACACCTTCTCCAGCTTTTTTTGTTTCAATGATGCAAAGATCATAGAATCACAGAACAGTTTGGAAAGGACCTTTATAGACCATGCAGTTCCAATCCCCTTGCCGTGGGCAGAGACACTTTCCACTAGTCCATACAGCCTGACCCTGAACACTTCCAGGGATGGGCATCCACAACTTTCTCAAGACAGCCTGTTCCAACTTCTCACCACCCTCACTGGCAAGAATTTTTTCCTTATATCCAATATAAACCTACTCTCCTTAGCCGTGAACCTGCTGCTCGTTTACCTGTCATTGCCAGCCCTGGTCTGACGTCTCCCTCCTTCCCGCAGGCAGGGTGAGACTCTCTGAGAAAAGCAGCAGAAGCTCCACGCAGCTTTAAACTCAGGGGTTAAGAAGAACTTTTGCGTTACTGTCAGGAGAGCCCCTGAAACCACCGCAGCCCATCGGGCACGGCAGCTCCTGCGGCCCGGCGCGCCCGGGGGCCGTGTGGGCCCGGGCTGGCGGCGGAGGGCGGCCCTGCTGCTGTGCTGGGGCTGTGGGCACGGAGAGCGGCACCTCCCCTACCCCGGGCCCGGGGATGGCACCGCGCCGGGGCTGTGGGCACGGAGAGCGGCACCGCCCCTGCTCCAGGCCCGGGGAAGGCACCCCTCCGGACACGGTGCGGATGGAGGCCGCGCTGCCCAGCACGCCCAGCCCGGTCCCGTTTGACATCCTCTGTCCTTCTCTGCTTTTTCTTTATGGTTAAGCACGCTGAAAGGCAGCAGACTGGCAGTTTTATTAACATAACCATCCTCTCTATCTGCAGGACAGCTGTAGCACACGTAGAAACCACCCAGACCACACACACGGCTCGGTTGGATGCATGGGCAGAGCCCAGTAAGATGATATTTAATAAGTCCAAGTGCCGAGTCCTGCATTTTAGCCACAGTAACCCCCTGCAACGCCATAGACTGGGGACAGTGTGGATAGACAGTGTCCAGGCAGAAAGGGACCAGTGTGCCCTGGGCAAGAAGGCCAATGGCATCCTGGCCTGTATCAGGAATAGTGTGGCCAGCAGGAGCAGGGAGGTCATTCTTCCCCTGTACTGGTGAGGCCACACCTTGAGTGCTGTGTCCAGTTCTGGACCCTCAGTTTAGGGAGGACGTTGAGAGGCTTGAGCACACCCAGAGAAGGCAACGGGGCTGGCGAGGGGCTTGGAACACAAGCCCTGTGAGGAAAGACTGAGGGAGCTGGGGGTGTTTAGCCTGGAGAAAAGGAGACTCAATGGTGACCTTATCACTCTCTACAGCTACCTGAAAGGTGGGTGTAGTGAGGTGGGGTTGGTCTCTTTCTTCAGGCAGCAACTGACAGAACGAGAGGACACAGTCTCAAGCTGCATCAAGGGAAATATAGGTTGGATATTGGGAAAAAGTGGTGGAGTCACCATTCCTGGATGTGTTTAAAAAAAGACTGGATGTGGCACTTGGTGCCATGGTTTACTTGAGGCGTTAGGGTATGGGTTGCACTCGATGATGTTGAAAGTCTCTTCCTGCCTAGTGATTCTGTCCGTGATGCCGCACAGAGCCGGCCGCGGCGGCGCTGGAAGCGATAGGCAGGCGGGACACGGTGCCAGGGCACAGCCACAGCCCGGCACCGCGGAGCGCCAACCGCGCCGCCCTCCCGACCGCCGAGCTCTCCCAAGTGATTGTGTTCGTGAAACACAGAATCAACCGAGCTCGTGAGCCCGGGCAGTGAGCGGGCGGGAGGGGCGGGCACGGCGGCCGGACGGCGTTTGGTGTCGCGTTACCGCCCGCCCCGTCCGTGAGGGCGGCTGGCGGGGCGGCCCCGGCGCTCCGGGGGACGCGGCCGTGGCGGCGGCCGAAAGGTGCCCGTGGTGTGGGACAGCGCCCCGGCCTGGGCTCTAAAGGGGCATGGCCGGTTAACCTCATTGTTTTACCTCATAAGTTTTACCTCGTTGTACGAAGAGACACTTGGAACACCTAGCGTCCGAGGTTTGCCGCCGGTTTACAATGCTGTAAGGCCATTACAAACCACCGGTCGCGTTCCTTCCATACATACTGATAATAAACCCTGGAAAACAGATACCCACTGAGTCTGAGAAATCATGTGATAAAAACTCTGCAGTGTGATGTATAAAGTCACTACACTGAAGCTCTTCCGTCTATTTCTTCACAGTTACGCCCCATCCATTGATCATTTTCAGAAAAGGAAATTAAAGGCAATACTTTGTGTTACATTTTCGGTGAACACTACGGTTCTAAAACTCTATTTTTGCCCCAAGCACTTTTACATCCTAGAATTTCATTCCCTACAACTAAGAAGAGCTTAGGGAATCATAATCACTTATCTGCCTCTATGGTGACAGAACTTAGTGTTTGTACTTAACCTGTTTGAAGCCTGCAATTGTGAAATAAATACTGGTTACAAATGGGGATTTTACGGCTAACTTTGAAAATAAGGAGTTGCCCTGGGTCAGAGTATTTGGGAGAGAAGCTGGAAGACAACTGTAACAGGGTAATGAAGTTTGCTAGTGAAGAGTTTGACACAATGATCTTTTATTACTGATACCAAAAATCTTTATTTTGCTCAAGCACAGCATATTTTAGCTTATTCTTTCTACTAATTTCAAAATGAGTCACAAGTAATATGCAGCATACAGATGACCAGTAACCTTAAAGTCCGATTTTTACTGAATTCACATGTAGATCTAAAAATTTACATGTGCTTACATGTGCATGTACATAATATGCTTTTATTTTTTTATTGCTATGTTACTTGGTCTCAACTATGAAAATCAACTCACTTTAGAGTAAAATAAAGTAGGAAATTCCTGGTTTCCTTATAGATGGCAGAATCAGAATCTCAGGAAGGAGACGATTATAACAGGGGAAAGATGGTGGAGAACATTAAAACAGACATGGAGGAACTTCTGGAGGAAATGGAAAAACTAACAGGTACAGGTCTTTATTAGCAATGATATGGATTTTTGTACTATAGACACTGAAGATTTATTTTTATATTTATTCTGTAAACTTCTGTATGATAGAAATGTAATTAAAACAATCACCATCAACTAATGCCCTCGTGTTCTTAATTGTGAAAAAGCATGCAGATAATTAAGCTGGTTCAGATGGCTCAGAATTAAAAATCAATAGGTGATGATGCATGCATACTTGAGAGTGTTGGTTAAAAAATGAAATATTACTAAGGTCTTTAATGTACAATCATTAAAATATAGTCTATAAAATGAGACTTAATTCTAAAAAATGGATACATATCACCTCTCAGATCAGTGTACTATAGTGAATTCTTGGTAAAATAAAAGGGGAAGTAAGTAAGTGTACATTAGTGCATAAGTGCTAAAACTATTTGCTCAGCTTTATCAGATACTCATTGTTTCAAAATCAATTCCATTATTTAAGGTACTGATTATTTCAATATCAATTTCATTACTTAAGTTGTCCTTAAAATATTTCATTTCTGTTGCAATCTCCTTGATCTTATTCTTCCTCACCTAACACAAGCTGTAACCAGTCTGGAGGGAGGACTCCTTATATAATATTCATATATTTTAAAACACTCTCTTGACCCTTTCCATTTGATTACCTGTTTTGTTGTCATTTTAGGTGAAGTGTCCACCCTTGTTTCATAATTTACATCAGTGTACTTTCATTATGAACTATTTTGAGACATTTATAAGAAGTAATACTGAACACTCCATTTAATCTATATTACTGTAGGCAGTTTCTGTTTTATTTTCCAGCCTTCTCTGAGATCCAAAGTGATAATAATTCATTTTATTAATTGAATTTGCTTATTGAATTTATGTATTGAATCAGTCCTTGCTGTTTCCTGGCCAGAAAACAGTAATAGGTGTTGTGTTTGCAGTGCGTGCAGCCTGGATGGCTTACAGCTACACGGCCATCCAGACCAACGCAGACCTGTCCAACGCCATGCAGCACTCAGAAGACGTTTTCCTGATGTGCAAAGAGCAGATGGAGAAGAAATGGCAAGAGGTGCTACTGGAATCTAGAAGTGAAGGGGAAAAAAAGGAATAAATTGAACTTGGTCATGCTGCCAGAATGACATTCCTCGGAAAATCACTCAAGTCCTTTTTTGTCCCAGCTGTGGAGGTTTCACAGGCTCTGTGGGAAATGGGCTTTCCTCTTGCTAAGAACTACTTATTTGTGAATGTCTGTGGAATTATTTTAATGAGATTACACATATAGCTTCATATAGTTGAGGGTAAAAGGCAGCAATGTGTGTAGTTGCATAATGCCCATCAGTAATCCCTGTAGAGTTTGCACACACAATTGACACGCCCTCTGACCTTTTCCCTGGAAGATCATACTCCATGGTCAGCATAACTGGAATTCTTAGAAACCTGAACAAACTGGGGAGATGGGGAGCAGGGCTGCTGTAGAGGACCAGCCTAATGGCATTGCAGTAACCTATGCCTTTCAAAGAAAACTGAAGAATTGCTTACTTTCCCAAATAAAACACAGGTTAAATTCTAGATCTGCAGATAGATTTAGATGGTTTTATTTAGTATTATCATCTAGGTGTTCAATTACATAGTTTTATTATTTAGATAGATCATCTATAGTTGTTGCATCTTCTTTCATTAGATTTTTAACCATTTCTTTGAACTGATTTCCCCAGAAAGATTGTTCCTCTCAAACCCTCTGAAGGTGGCATGAAATAAATTTTTTTTTACCATTATAGACTGCAGTGAGTGTGGTGGCATTGCTGCAGAAAATACTAACCATGTTATAAAACATGCTTTTCTCCATACATTCTTACTGTAAAATATTAGAAAAGGACTAAACAATTTCTTCTTTAGTCAGGATGTGGATTGAGAGCAGCAACTTATGGTTTGTGGTTTTACATAAATGAGTAATTTATCAGAGATGGAATTCACTGCAATAAATTTTAAGGATCTTCCCTTTTATTAAAATCAGTCTCTTTTAACTAGAAAGTAACCACCATGCAATAAGTGAGAGCACCTCCATCTCCTCTGAAGAGGTAATGATTTAAATCACATCTAAAGAATCCCTGAAAGTTGGCCAATGTTTAGGCTGTGTATTTCTTTGAGAGTGGTTGATCTAAATTCAGACAAAATGTTTATCCACCGAAGTAAAAAATATGCAGACAATTTAACTATGGGTGTTTGGTTTTTTTTAATACCAAGTATTTCTAGAGATACAAATGGTAAGAACAAACTTTGAACTCTACACTTGACTTTCCCATGGGTAGGTCTTCACTTCTCCCCAAGATTTTCTTTGCAGTTATGTGACGATTACAAGAGGAAAGTTAGGGATGGGCAGCAGTGCTTATTCCTAGAAAAACTATACAGCAAGATATTTATATTTTTACTTTGCTATTTTTATCCCTTATTTATTTACTGGATTGTTACTCACCATCTACCCTATTTCAGCCCCCCTCGAGCCTGCAGCAGACCCCAGATAGCCCACATTGCAACACCTTTATTTCTTGTCACGGGGGTGTGTCCATGAATTTCCAGAAAAAATTAAGTGGAGTAACAGCCCCATCTAGTGCTCACATAACTGTACCAGTAAACTGGATTGCTGACATCTCTTAACTCCCCAGCACCCATTTCCTGTGATGAGAAGTGTCAGCAGTTGTGAGGGGTGTAACACTGCAATGCTTTTACCACTCATGACACAGCAAAATTTACTGATCTTAGTTATGCACTGCACCTGTTGGCAAGTCAAGAGGCTGATGTCCAAGAGTAACCTATCCAAGAGCCATCAAGTGGAGCCATAAATATTCTCAATACTCTGCTTTAGAGCATTGAGAATATTTTAGAGTATTGTTTCCATTTACAGTTTCTTACCAAGAAACAGATGAGACTTATACAAAGCCTCCTGTATAATTCTGATGGAAATTCTTCTGGTTCAAACTGTGCCCTTCTTTCCAGTGTAAAACAACTGAAAGAGTGCTGAAATGAGAACATTTCACACTCAGGCATCTCAACCTTGTCAGAACATGTCCTAGAGCTCTGTTCAGAATATTTATTTCATTTACTATTACTGCCCTCCAGTTCTTTATTATAGGCCAAATTACCTCAGAAAGGCTCAAGCATCCATATGAGTTGTTTTACCTTTTAGCATATTTTCAAAATTTCAGTCCACATTCTTGCAGCAATTTTTCCTGAAATTGAATCTGTAACACAGATTTATTATATATATGTATATTATATATAATATATATGTAAAATTGTATGTAAATATATCTATTTACACATACTATTAAAATAATCTTTTTTTTCTGAACAAGAACTGTATCACATAGGCACTACTGGCATGAAAATGGCAGTTTATAATTGATACACTAAGGACCTTTGTGGTCCTACTCAAGTCGCCATTTACAAGTCAAAACTTACAGCCAAACATTGAAGAATAATCTATTTCTACACTAGTCAGAAAATATGAAGCTCTGAGTCTTTTCTAACACATTTTAAAACCTTAAGATATTAATTACTCATCAGCTGGTGGTACTAAGTCATCAAGATCTATTTTCTGCTCAGTGCATTGTTGTCCTGCTCTAGGACTCAAAATTCAGTCATAGCAGCCTTGCTCCATTATTGCAAACAGAACAAAACAAAGTTTAAGCTACCACTTATTTGACATGGCCTCCAAAATCTTCTCATCCCATTTACACCTGTGGAAGGATCCCACTGCCACTTGGCTCCAGCAGATGATTTTCCCTGCAGCTCTGAGGACTTCAGAGCATGGACTTTCCCTCTACAGAGCACAGCAGCACTGAAGGCTCACTGGTTCTCCAAAAAGCCAAACCAGCAGAAAGCAGAATGATATCTAAGGCCATGGCTTTGAACTTGGGATGTGCAAGGAGACTCTGTAAAAAATCCACAAGTAACAGAGTCAGACATCCACAGCTGATTTCATAGGCCTCATAACAAACTATGTAGCACAGGCTTTATTTCCAGCGCTTTTTCCAACAGAAAGTGTTTCACTTCCAAGGCACTTGTTGCACCTGTGTAGTTCTCCCACAGCAGCAGCACTGTCTGAGACAGAAGCTTACAGTAACACCTATATCTCTCACCAGGCTGTGAATGCCTTGTATTGCAATTATGTTCAAATGAAACCATGCACAAAGGAAGGCCTACAGAACTGCCTTCTTCCTTTCTTTATCCTCCTCAAAAGTTCACAAGCCACAGGGAATGTTTTCGCAGCCCATTAGCTACTCTGCAAATTCAAAATCCATGGAGCTAAATGTCTTTTTTAAAAAAAAACAAACCAACACAACACAAATAAGCTCTCATCTGAAATTCTGCTTGAGGCAAATAACCCATAGCCTTATTTACAGCACAAGCACCAGCTGCCAAGAGATATGACCTTCATTATTGAGCACCAGGTTTATATTTTTTTTCTGGCAAATTCAGCTAACAAGTGCATAAGAAGCCTAGTAAAGGAACAACTTATGTACAGCCCAAGACATCTAAGATGTAATTTCAGTGAGTGCTTTAAACTTTGCTAGAGTTAAGTTTACATTTTCATAACCAGGGAACTGAGAGGGATGAAGGAGGTTATGTCAGTGACTGGCGTCTGTTTTATGCAAACATTCTTACTAAAGGCAGCACAGAAATAACAAATAGAACTCAATGCTAGGACATTACTTGCATCTCTCCCTCACTTTCTCCATTCACTAAAAAAAGAAAAAAGCCAGTTAGGTACTTTTGTTAACCTGATTCAATCTGACCTACATTTTTGCAGAGATTAAGAAAATTCTCTTTAGCCTGTCAAATCTCTCAAGGAAAAACACCTATTGAAGGCAGTTAAAGTAGTTTTTATGACAAGTTCTGCATTAATATTTCAGTATTTATGAATATCTTGCATCTCCTTATTATGGTGAAATTATCAACCTCTCCCCAGTATGTCTGCACATTTAGTTTGGAGCAAAATTTAAGCCTAAAAAAATTTATCCTGCTTAAGAATTTTTTAAGGCACCATTACTTATATTTTCGTCACCTTATTGCATTTTTTGTCAAAACAGACATGTTTCTTCATCTTCCAAGTGAAGATTTCTTCCTCAACCAAGCCTATGGCTTTCACTTCACAACCATTAAAAGGTTCCTAATCCCTTGCCATTCAGGCAGGTGTAAGCTTTGTAGCTCAGGCACCACTCAGCCTCTTCCACCCTCCTTGTCCCCAAGGCAAAGGCAATAGGGTGCAAGGGTCCTTGCTCACCTTCCCAGAAGCTGGAGGGAAAGAGCTTTTGAGTGCAATTTTTTATGCCCTGCACTCTCTGCTCAATTCCTGAATAAAAACAGGATTATTTGTTTGAGAAATAAATATGCTTATCTAGGATTTGGGTAGCAGCAACTGCAAGACAGTGAGAAATGCTGGACTAGACAATGAAGGACACAAGATATGCACCCACATTCAACACCTGGAAGGCAGCCAAATTTTAGGGAGGAACATTAAAACACCCCTGATATTATAAGATAGCTGAGTACTTTGCCCATTAACATAAGATGGTACAGGTACAGAGATTTCACTGGTTTGAAATAGAGTGGAGAAGCCAGTCAAACATTATTCAAAAGAGAAGCTTAGATGAAGTGGTAGTTACTACACAAGTGTCCTTGAGCAGAGTCTCAAAACTTGGATTCTACTGTTTACACAACACAAAAGCCTAGCAAAACAGATGAGAAAAAAAACCATTCCAGGAACTCACTCCACATCCCCTAAACTCCTGCCACAAGACACTAACAGGAAAACCCAACTATTAAACCATTAGAGTGAAAGGAACAGAGGGAACACTAAGTTATAGCTGTTTAGTCCAACACTTCTGCAAAGAAATCACGAAAGTATATATTCACATAACCATGCTCAGGTATCATCCAGCAAGACATACCAAAGAGGCAGCTCTCTTTCACATATAAGCACTGAAGGAACAAGATTAAAATAATGAATTATTTTAAAAGCAAACATAAAAAAATACTCTAAACCAGATTTTTTTTGGTAGTTGAAATCACTTTTATTTGTGAGGAACGTCACCCATGCTGCACAGTTTCAAATAGATCTTAACAAGGAAAGCGGAAGTTTGTCCTCCCCATGTCCTGCAGTGAACAGGACTGGCACAGAAAAAAAACTCACACTTGGGAGGTTTAGCACCAGCATCCAATACAAAAAGCATTTTATTTAAATTTTAGTTCTTTGGTTGTTTTTTTTTTCCCTTTTCAGTTTGATACCAAAAGAAAAATTGAAAAAAATCAATACTAGCAAAACAGTGAAATTCTAGGGAAAAAACCCCAAAATCAAATAGCTCAACAGTTGCTGTTAAAACTAGGGAGGTGGTTCTTTCTGAATCGCGCTCTCTTTCTCTCTTCATGCATCTATCTTGTAGGCGTTCCCTGGATCTCAGCTGCTGGTAAATTTTCTTTTACATTTTGGTATTTCAAATCTTTGTTTTCGTCATCACTGTTGACAATTTATTGCTTGTTTGTTTCTTTGGTGTTACTTTTGAGTGATACTTTAGGACACCTGTTGAAGAGCCACATGTTAAAAAAATGCAGTTTAAGTTTCGCTGTCTCAATAAATAGACAAGATGTCAAATGAAAAGAATTATAACAGGCAGGATAAGCACAACTGGCTTATCCTGTCCACAATCAAGATCTTCCTAAAATAAAATAACTCAACAGTAGATATTGCTACTATACAGACCAGAGAGCTTCCTGGAAAAAAAGAAATCAATTATAAAGTAAAACTTACTTTGTGACAAATCCAGAGGCAGAGGGAAGAAAGAAGAGAAAAGCAGTATCTTGGTTTGCCTCTACAGCGCTCTCAGAACTTATCACAAATATCAACCCCTACACAAGGGGATGTGGCCAGAATCCTAGAAGCATACACACTCTGCTTTCACTGGGAAACAGAACTGTCCATATTCCTCACCTGAGCGATGGTAAAGGTGCCTGGGCAGCCGGACATTACTCAGCACCACTCTGCTCTGTCACTGGAGCAGGATTTTCAGCGGGTGTTTCAGTCGTCTTTGCCTGAGACACAACAAACTCTTATTATAGGCAAAGGCTGACCTCCACACCCTTCCTCTCTTCAGCAGTACAGCCAGCATAATGCAGGTTTTAAAACAATCAAGAAAAATGCATCCCCAGAAAATATTTAATTTTAATGTATTTCTTGTAATTGAGTATTACACAGCAGATTCTGTCAAGGGAACACCTGAAGTAGACACTGAATGAGAAAAATCTTTCCTCATTAAAGTATAATCTGTGTTTGCAAACAGTTTCCTGAAATTATCTGGTTCAAACGGTTCAGGAAATGGATCTAGAGCTTTCAAATCCACCTCTCATGCTACATACAGAGTTAAGGTTTATGGAAGCAGGAAAACACAACTGTTTGCCTTTCAAAAATAATTGTTACAGTCTGACCCCAATTAAGAACTATCCAGAAGCACTCCCTATCCTACTGCCTTTTAAGTTCATTTTAAGATCAGGTGCTTATTCTCAAAGAGCGTCAGAATCAGGAGGCAAGGAAATCAGCATGTCAGATTTGGTCATCAGACTTATCCAGCACATGAATACATTTATTAAAAATTCACACAGGGCAAAAGGTCTTGGGCATTCATCCCATTAAAACCTCTGCTACATACAATCATTATTAACTCGTTTGGGTTGGAAGGGGACCCTGAAGATCACCTTATTCCAACCCTCTGCCATGGACAGGGATGTGACGGTGGTCACATGGGTTTGGAGGGTGAGAGAGAGACAAGAATGTTGATTCCATGTTCAGAAGGCTTGATTTATTATTTTATGAATATATATACTACATTATACTAAAAAGAATAGAAGGAAAAGTTCTCAGAAGGCTAGCTAAGCTAAGAATAGAAAAGAATGAATAACAAAGGTCTGTGTCCCAGCAGAGAGCAAGACCCAGCTCTGCCATGAGTGGTCAGTAAATCCAAACATCCACAGGAGACCAATCACGGATCCACCTTTTGCATTCCACAACAGCAGATAACCCTTGTTTACACTTTGTTGCTGAAACTTCTCAGCTTCAGCAGGAAAAATCCTAACGAAAGGATTTTAATGAAAAGATGTCTGTGATACAGGGACACCTTCCACTATCCCAGGCTGCTCAGAGTTCCATCCAACGTGGCCTTGAACTCTTCCAGGGATTGGGCAGCCACAGCTTACCTGGGCAACCTGTGTCAGTGCCTCACCATCCTCATAAGGGAAAATTTTTTTCCCTCATATCCAATCTAGACCTACTCCCTTTCCGTTTTAACTCATTCCCCCTTGTCCTGTCACTCCAGGCCCTTGCAACTGTCTTGCCTCATCTTTCCCTTCAGGCCCCGCAAGGCCACAATGAGGTCCCCCAAAGGCTGAGGCGGCCCAACTCCCCCAGGGCTCCCTGGCAGGGCGGTGCTCATGCCCTGAGCAGCTGCCTGTCCGTACCTCCTTGCCCTCCTGTGGCGGGGCGCTGGCTGGGCGCGGCCGGCGCCGGTAGTTGTAGGGGCGCCGGTAGCCGCGGCGCAGCGGCTGCTGGCTCATGGCACTGGCCTCGTGATGGTTCTCCTTGTTTTCAGCCTCTCCAGTCGCCGGGGCAGGGCGTGGGCGAGAGGGCCCTCTGAGAGGAGCAGAAAGAGGTGGTAAGAACAAAATCAAGAAAGGTTCAACTACAGTAATTTTAGCCCAGCAAAACATCCCAAAACCAAGTATCATCCTCAACGGTTTTGAGTTCTAGCAAACCATCCCTTCAGGGTTTGGCTGACATATGGTTGGAAAGGAAAGAGGAAAGACAAGGAAAGTGGGTGTCTCTTCACTGCTGAAGCTACATCACCATATTCTGCTGTCTGTCCTGCAAGGAAGATGCAGCTAGCTAACTTTGAATTGCTAGCTAGCAGGAGAAACAAGCCAGTAGTGGCCACACAGGCTGATTGCACTGAGTTAGCTTTGACATGGCTAAATACCAGCCTAGTCCTATTCTTAATTAATGGTGGAGTCCTTGCAATCCTCCTCACTTCTACCTGAAAACCATTCCTGGATCTTGGCTCTTTGCCTCATGTTGCCCCTCTTAACCAATTGGGAAAAGCACCTATCACAAGTGAGCTGCACCTGATTAGCACTAAGCTATCAAGTCCATGTTCTTGATGTATACAAGAGCATTTCACCTGATTTCTAGTGTAAACAGTGTTTATAAACTGTCAAAACACAGCCAAAATCCAGTTCCCATTAGCTAATCCACAGCCACCTAGCCCCAAAAGCCAATTTAACTTTTCCAAAGGAACATAACAAAAGTGCCAGTGTCACTGGATTGAGTGCCTGTAAACAAAAGCAATATCTGTGAACTCAAACAGAAGCATTGTGCACTGATAGGCTGTACCATTCCTCTCATAGGAAAATTGCATCAGAAAATAACAAGTTTCCATTAGTCATGGACAAGTTACTCAGCCTGTGATTCAACCCCATGACGTGCAAAAGCCTCACTGGACTTGCTATGGCACTATCTCTGACTACCCAAAACTAATGAAGACTTGCAGGAATTATATTTATTCAGCTTGGATGCCAACAAGCAGCAAGCATCAGTAGTATCCCACTTCCCACAGTCCTAGATAAGAGCCAAATTGAACATGAATATGCATCAACAGAAAAGCCCAAACTAGAGGTGGAAGGCTTGTGGCTTTAGACCCAGATTCCAAAAGGATGAATCCATTGTGCATTGAACAGGCAAGTCATTACAATTAAGAACAGTCTTGTTATCCCTATCAAATTCAGCTTGTTGCTGCTCTTGCACTGTTATTCACCTCCTACTTTTTGTTTTTGAACAAACATGCACATGAAAAAATGGGGATTACATCATTTTTACAGTTCATCTCTAAATTCTGTATTGGAATTTGACTTCATAACCTACTTGATAAACAAGGATAATATGATGAGGGGCAACTGAGTGAATGGCAGACAAACCAGCCCCTTGAGGACCTTTAAAGGCAATTTGTTCGAACCCCTTCAACTAGATCAGGTGGCTCAGAGCACTCTCCAACCTGACCTTGTAAGGGGCTTCTACCACCTCTCTGGGCAACATTTTCAGTAGAGCACTATTTCAGTGTTCTACCACACTCATAGTAAAAAAGTCTTCCTTCCATTTATACTAAATCTCTTAATTTAAAACCATTACCCTTCAGGCTAACAAACACAACCGGCCTTCTTAAGAAGTTAATCTCCATCTTTCTTATAAGCCCCATTCAAGTACTGGGCAGTCAGCTCCCTCAGCCTGCTGGCCATGCTGCTCCTGCTGCACCCCAGGATATGGGTGGCTTTCTGGGCTGCAACTCCACATTTCCCAGCTTACACACACAAGTTTTCACCCACCAGCATCCCCAGCAGGGTCCCAGATAAAGTATAAGTTATTACTTATCCAGAAAAGTATGAGTGTTCATCTGGGAGGACATGGACACTGCAGCTGACTTCAATATGCTGCTCAGCTGTGAGAAGTAATGGGATGCTAAGAATTCTTTGCCCTTTCTAGGCCATTATGATTCTGAACATACAAGCACATGAAACAAATTTCTCCAAGTAATTAAAATGCTTCTCACTGTGCCTACCATTTGCATAAGTGCTCCCCCACTTGGAAGCCTGTACAGAGCACAAAAGCACAGAAGTGACTGAGCAGAGGAACTGTACACACCTGCGATAGCGGGGACGGTAGGTAGGATTCCTGTGCACTTGCTGAAGTTGTCCTCCTTCTGTGACCCCATCCTTGATTTCTCCCTCAGCACCCTGCTACCCAAAGAAAACAAGTGTTGTATTTGACAGGCAGTATATTAACCATAACACTGAATGCAAGCTCAAAACAAACATATCAGCACAGAAATCTCAGCATATTGGGTAAAAAGCAGCAGATTCTCAAAAGGCTTAAATTCGGGCAAACTTAAGATGAGGACAAAACAAGAGCCACCAATACTGCTCCTGTTCCTCAGACTAAGAAGCTGTTCTTAGAAACATTCTTTCTGAGCATATTAACTGCATTTCACTACATGAAATGCACTGTAAGGGGTACATGTTATGGCAAGGCAGCTACTGATCAGGACAATTCTTTATTTGAAAAGCTAACAGACATAACACAGAAATTTGCTACAGACCACTTCACATTCACACAAAGCCCCATTCCACAGGGAACCCCCCACAACAATATCAAGAGGTTTTAAGATAGAGTGTTTGATGTGATGTAATACAGTTTATCTTTCTACACAGTCCTTTCAATCTTTCAGAGATGCAGTGGTTATCTTTCCCCTTTAGTTGTTAATTGATAAAGCTGTGCTTTTTCTGGTTTGATTTTTGTTTGTGATTTGTGTTTTAAATGCCAGCCATCAGTAATGTCTGTTTTAGAAAATGTTACATGAGTTAGAGTTTCTCATGTATTATTCTTTCCCTCAAAAGAAGGAATTTAACAAGATACCTAGAAACAGAAGTGCATCTTCTGCATCTGATCCAGCAGGAAGCAAGAGCTGTGGCGTCTTAACAGCCCTTAGTAATCTGCCTTAAGTTTGACAGGTATCCTTCCCATTTTACACAGCCATTTTGCACAACCACCATGACCATACACAATTAAAAACTCTGCAATCATCTGTGATGTTTCTCATGTATAAAAATGATCAGGATAACTAAATATCCAAAGGAACTAGGATCAATAGTAGGAACAGTTAGTATCTGACAGCAGTTGAGGTATAATTGAGAGACTCAGAACTCAAAAAAATAACACTTCTCAGTTTACAACAGCTTTGTACTGCCTGTCCACTTTGCAATACCAAACTGTTCTGGTTTTGTCGAGATGCCTTGTGCACCATAACTTGAAAGTTTATTAGACCTATGTTGCATGATCAGAAGTGCCTCAGACAGTCAGGTGAGAAACAGCCCTGCCAGTAGCATGTGTGGCAGCAGCAATGCAGGGAAATGGGACTCACACTTCGAGGTGGGCCCCGGCGCCTGCCGAAGTAGCCCCGTCGGTAGCGGCGCCGGTCTGCAGCGTAGCGGCTGCCTTCCACAGGGACTCCATCTGGACCAGTGACATTGGCTGCCTCTGCACCCTGTAAGGGCAAAGGAAAGGTAGCCAGGGGGGTGTGAGAAAAGAACAACCAGCTACAGGGAGAAGATGAAACAGGAAAGAGGCTTATTCGCATAAGGAATGACTGTAACTTGGAACTTTCTCCTGCACAAGGCAAAAGGAGGTTTGTTATTCCCAACTCCTTAAACAAGAGAGTTATCATGAGTTAAGAGACTGAAATCCTATCCAACAGCCTGAGTTCAGAGGAGGAAGCAAGAAGGAACTGACAGTCAAAAATAAACCTCAAAAATGTTCAGGAAAGTAGAAGCATAAGGAAATTGAAAGTTCTTACAATTATTAAGCTATCAGACTCAAAGACAAATCGTTCAGGGCAATGTAGGCCTCAGTTCATAATTACTGGGCAGGCTGTAGGCTTCCCATGTTCTCTCAAGGAACAACTGCAGATTCCAGAAGCACTAGGATGCAGTTTCCTAGTAGTTTTGATACATATCTAGAAATATGCCTTAATGACACCTTTAAAGAACAGATTTCCCCCAGAAAAGCTATATGAATGCCACCAACCCAGTGGTTAACACATCAGACAGAGACAAAGACACAGCTAAAGTTGCGATTTTATCTCTGTTGGACCATACCCTGCGGCTCCATGATCTCTCACCTTCTCTCCCTCAACCACATCAAATTCTACAGTCTCTCCATCACCAACGCTGCGCAGGTACTTCCGTGGATTGTTTTTCTTTATCGCCGTCTTGAAAGGAAAATGCATAAAAATATATTATGTTAACTTATGTTACACATTCTTAGCCCCACAGATGAGGGAAGGGCAGCATTTCTCTGCTACAATTCCAACTCTACACACCAGAGCAGTAGCTGCACTAAGGTATTTCAAATAGACTGATGTCTCTTATTTCACAGGCCTACCAATACTCAGTTCAAGGTCTCCTCTCACTATAATTTCATAAATCACCTGCAGCTCCAGGATCTGCTCTGTCCAGCACACTGGATATGGAAATTACTGCAAATCTCTGCATGAACAGAGTTCATACTCAGTGCCAAGGCAGCACTAGCAGCAAGTGTGATCCCTGCCTTCAGTCATTAGGAGAGCAGTAGACTATCTAAAGAGAACTCAAGACCCAGAGCATTTCTGTAGAAGCATTAACTATATGGTATCATGGTAAGTCATAGCAACTAGAAAAGAATTACTGTAACTCCGGTGCAACAAATTAGCATTTTATCTAAGCACTGTAAATGAGACCACAAATATTAGGTGAGTCTGTAATAACACAGAATAGTACCAGAAGAGACAGATGGAATCTTAGCCATCTCTGCGACAGAAACCCCAAAGTAGTACAATAATAGCTATTAATGATAATACTCTTATTGTTACATAAAAATAACAACACGGGTTTGGATCAAAACCAGTTATTCACCACCTCAGACTCACAGGAAACACTCAAAACTCCTGGAGCAATTTTCAGTCTACAAATACCTTGCTTGTACTCTGTGGAGTACTTCTAGGACTCCACAAAAGGCTTTTATCCAGACAAGCCTATGATCTGTTCATTAGGCAAGGCTTTGCAAACTGGAAGATGCCAGGGAGAAAAGACCAAGACATGCATTGTACAAGCTAATCCAGTCGCTATTTTCTCACTGAAAGATTATTATCTTGCACTAGATTATTAAAGACCAATTCACATTCCTGATGTGGGAACCTTTAGTTAGCATGAAGGAGGGAGGTGCAGAGCCAGCAAAGAGAAACACACATGGAAACGCAGGGCATAAACCTGGTTTAAGAAATTGGATGTGGGGCAGAAACAGGAGAGCCAGTTGTCCTGTCTGTCTGCAGAATGACCATCAGTGGAGCTGTTACCTTTGCATAGCAACAATATTTAGTCAACAACAGCCCCAAAATATTTCCAATTGAAAGAAAAATTTATTCAATTTAAAGCTCATCTTGACTAATCTAGGAAACCTACTTTCCTTGCTGCTCAATAGTCTCCTTTGTGTTTCAGGCCACAGACCAGCATGCCCTTCTAGCCATACCTTTCCCTATATCCTGAAGCATCCCTGAACAGCCTAAGGAAGGATGCAAGAGTGTACATACTATAATTGTCAAAGCAAAAATATTTCAAGAGGTTTGGGGTTTTTTAATACAGAAACAGAATGACCTGTTCAAGTCAATTCCTTTGGGATTTACTTTAGCAAGCAGAGACTCCCCAAGTACCACAAACAACTTTGTTTGCTTTCTGCTGACTCTTTAGTATAACTGTCCCACTTCTAAAAATCAGATCAAAGTGTTTGCTTTTCCATAAATTTTATATCCTAGTACTAAAACCCTTAATCTGCAGCGAAGTTATTGATTTAGTACTATTTGTACTGAAACAAGTACTATTTTACTAAAACTTCTGAACTTGTGCTTTGCATGTCACAGAGATGTCAATAAGCTGTATTTCAAACTCTTTCCCCTTCCCTGTAAGTGCAAAAGAAGAAAAGACTAAAAAATTTCATTTCAGCAGAGGGTATACATAACATAGATGAAGCTCCTCAAATACCCTTCAAAAAGCATAATGAAAGATAAAAGCAACAGTATTCCACATGTTCTGTTCCCAGCTTTATGGGCAGAAACTTCAAGAATCCAGATCTGCAACTGCCAGCAGAAGGTAGAGGCTGCAGTAGGCTGGAGCTTGTTTTATAAAGGCAATCAGGACAACTTTAAGTAAATCCTAGAAATCCAAGCAGAAACTCTAAAGCTTTACTACTTCAGCTGCAGATAAACATCACTGAAATAAGCCTCTAACAAGCCTAAGCTCTAAGCTTGATGAAAAGACTTTTACTCTGTGTATCCAGAGGGAAGAGAGCACTGTTCTCCCTGTTACTGTTTACCAGCATGCTGCAGGCTCCAGCTTCTCTGATTCAGAAGACAGATGTTTCATATTAACAGACAACACTCAACAACAAAGCCTTTCCTTTCCCAGGGGGTACACTGATGAACAGGCAACCAGAAGAGCCTCCAGAGCTAGTTCAGGTTCATGTTTGAAAGAGTGCTTTCCATATGCTCATACCACCACATCATCAGCACATCCAACCTTGTCCCATAACAGCCAAAATTTGTTACACTGATTCCTGGTGCAGGTACTTCAGGCTGTGCATGATCAACATAATCCAGTGCAGTGAAGAGAAAGATTAACTCCTCCTCACAGCTCATTGATTTCAACTCTGCCTAATTAAATGTAACTGTTCTGGCTGCTGACACGCTTCCTGTTGTTAAACTGTGAGACACACTGCAGCCCATGAAGCAGATGGATCCCTTCTGCTCACAGCACCTGTAGCTGACTGACACACTGCCCTGGGCAGCACCTTGCACCAACCAACCAGACAGGAATGCAAAGCAAAGAGCTGTCCTTCCCAAAAACACTGCCCGGGGCCCCTGCAAGACAAAGGGTTAACTCAAAGCAAGCCATGCATGCCCTAAAAAGAAAAGCATTTTAATCTGTACTAGTTATAAATAGCATCCAATAGCCAGACACCGAGCACTAACCCCCATTCCAATCATGAGGTCGGCCGTTCCATGCAGGGGAGGCAGGGAGAAGCTGTATCTATTCAACTAGGTCAGCCTTATTCTGAAGGGATTAGGAGTGTAATCCAGCCCCTCCCAGGCACGAGGGCACTATCAGCACAGAGGGAGCTTGAAGCAGGATGTTTGCTCACACATGGATTGGCCTCCCTCCTCAGCCAGCCTCACCAGGAGCTCTGGCTGTCCCAGGCTCTGGGAGCGAGCACATCCATGCACAGGATGAGGAACATCTGACTGCTGCCAAGCCAGAGCAGCACTAGAACCCTCTACTCTGCCATGCACAGCCTGCCAAGAGGGTTAATCTGATGCAGGCCTGCACATGATGTGGTATTTCTGAAACAAAGCCAGTTTTGCTCACACCAAAAGGACTTCAGCCACAGGAGACGGGAAGTGCCCACCCCTCTCCACACACACTCACCAGCTTACATTTAGGGGAACAATCTCCTCTACAGGTGAAGGAGACAAAACAGCACAGATAACACCACCTTTCTGTTTGGGTCTCAGCTTGCAGCCCTCCCAAGCAGAATAACACTGATCCACGTTATCTGTCATCAGCACAACTGCCATTTTCCAGGATATTGTCTCACAAGTATCAAGGAAACCTCATTTGTCTTTAAGGCAGTGCTGCCCATCCAGAACACATTTCTCTTCCAGAACTGTTCCCACCCTCCTCTGGACACAATCCCACCAGACCACAGATGTGTCAGCATGCCCACAGCACAGGCTGCTAAGGAAGGAAAATGACCATCAAAAATCCGTATGTGCACTGACATCTCTTGCTCTCAAGCCCACCAGCCAAACTTGGAACATGTACTGTGGACACTTCCCAACATCATTTTCTCTCATAACAGGCACTAGATTTATCCCCTTCCAGCTCCAGCCAGGTTCAGATCATGGGTGTACACCCTATGACCCAGAGAAACAGTTACCACTGTTACCACAGTTACCACTATTTAGTCATCAGGACACAAGAACTAAACTAACTCTCAGTGTTGACTCACCAGCTAAGGATATATGCACATATCCTCATTCTCAGTAGCCAGCTCTGGGAACAAACTTCCTGGTTACATTTGATAGAAATGCTGTCACACCACAGAGAAAGCTCATGCTCTCAAAGATCACATGAGCCTGCAGACATTTTATATCGGCCAAACTCTAGGGGCAAGACTGCACTTTCTGGTGAATGATGCAAAACCAGATCTAAACCAACTAATCATTTGACATCAGCATGGAGACAGCATCTTCTGTCTTGCCATTATGTGCCTGCAACCTGAGAGTCACAGTATAAACTTAGAACAGCCTCCTGACAGCTCAAGGAACATTAACCAATAACGAGCCGCTGGGCAAGCTCTCTCTGCTTGGGCATACTTGGCACACAGCCTTCCTCCTCTTCTGCCTAAGAGCAGCTGCCTTGTGCAGAAACAGCTGATGGCAACCCAGGCTGGTCAAGAGCCAGACTAGATCACTTTCTCTCCAATACCAGGGAGGGCAGACAGAACAGACCTGCAAGTGAAGAGAGCAGGAAGAAACAAAAGGCACAAGAGCATGAGGAAACAGGGGAAGGACAGACAACAGCAGCAAGGTATTCACAGAGGAATCATCTCACCAAGAGGAGACAACCAAACAAAAACCACACCAAAAAACACCTTTAGTGTTCAAATTAGAGCAGACAAAAAGGGTTAAGAAGGGTTAAAATACCTAGCCTTTCACAGAGAAGGAAAACAACCTAACATTTCTCCCTGAAAATTTCAACATACACATCCACTCAAGTTATTTGCAGAAAATATTCTAAGGAGAAGCCAGGACAAGGTTGTGGAGCTGTTGCAGGAAGCTGCATTAGAAAGCTACCATAGCACACACATCTAAGCACAACTCCTGCTGTCTTACCTGATGAACAAACACATCTTCTTTGGTATCGTTTCTGTGAAAAGAAAGTGAGAAGTCGTAAGAGTTTAGACTTAAGAGACTTTAATAGAAATTCCTGGCTTTTCAAGTGAAACCCTCCTTCTCCTAGCCTGTAGCACATGCCCTGAATTCCATACATTCTGTCTAAGCCTATGCTACAAAACCCTGCTCTGAACTTCTATGGTCATTTGCTTGAGAACAGAAAGGATTCCCAGGCCTTCAAAAGGGTGAGAAGATGGGGGAGGTTCTCTGTAATCTTCTGGTAAATATTCAGTGTTTTCTTTTATGCAGGGCAGAGCTGATGACTGGACTGCTTGTTTTTCACTACTCTAACTCCCCAAAAACACTTTCAGAGGGACTGCAACCTGAGCTGTTACCCCAGAGGTCAAACAAGACTATCAACAGGACTGGCCACAGCTGTTAACAGAGATCTCCTTTCAGTGAAATTCAAAGCAAAGAGGCACAAGAGGTGTCAGGAGAGTCCACAGGAGGAGGACCCAGATATGAACGTGAGGTTTTCTGGATTGGGCCAGACACTTCAGGCTTCCACATACAAAACACAGAGAGATAAGTCTGAGACCTTGAATCTGTGTTCCCATACAACAAAAAAGAGCCTAAGCCCTGCCATCTGTTCACTCAATTCCTTCTCAACAAACACAACAGGTGGGTCAAAGAGTTTGTGAAGATAATGCATAATCCCAAATTTGTTGTCCTGAATTGAAGCAATAGTAGATTTCACATTAGGAAGAAAGCTAACAAGTTATTACACCACAACCAGGTGAAGGCTCTTAGATCAACTGCTATTACAGATTTTAAGAGGACTTCCTAATTAAAACACTTCTTCTAAGCTTATGTAACACTGGATAATAACCTCCAGAGACTGAGATTAATACCACACCACAACTGGCTTCAGATCCACGAACGTGGGGTCTTCTACCCCTTTCTGCACTATCCAACTCACCCAAATCTGCCTGATGTGTAACAACTCAAGTGAAATAACTTGCCAGGTATGTTTTTTGGAAGACAAGTGTTCTTCAGCATGCAGCAGTTTCATTACTCAAAAAAGCATACAAAACATTGAGAGGCAATACAGCCTCTCAACCACAAAGATATTTCAGCCTTAAAAGCCAGTTTCCTCCAGTAAACTGAAAGCATGGGTCCTCTGCACCTAAGGTTACAGATGTCCACCTAGAGATGACCAATCTCATCTACAGCTGTTTGGATTCTCAATGCTATTCAGAGATTTGTTTGTGCCCAGAGAAGAGGGAAAAAAACCAAAAGATACAAAGAGAAAATTTCTATGAAACTCAGGCCTGGCATACTTTCAGTGAGATACTATCAGGGAATCTCAATGAGTATCCACTGGAGGTATTCTGACCAAGCAGTTAACACTTCAAGTTTACCCAAAAGTATTTCCCCTCATCCTCCTGCCTTTGTCAGGCCTTTGAAAAAAGTCAGGCAGTCACTAAAGAGTATGTAGCTCATTAAGAGTGTAGCAGAAGTAAACATGAGAAACAGGTAACAGACCAAATTTGTAGAGTTTGACCCTTTCTGTTTTCTCCCCATGCACATAACGTTTTATTGGAGGCTGAGGTGCTTAAGAAAGTTTGCTGAGTGCCTGGCCAAAGCTGACTATCAACTGCATGAGCTTGTAGTCAGGTCCTGAGGTCTCTGTTGCAATCAGTAACACGTGGCCTATCTTGTGTACTACGAGTCTTAGTACAGCATAAATACAACTATCAGAATTTAAACATACCTGTTGATAAAGCCATATCCATTTCTGACATTGAACCACTTGACTGTGCCAAGAACTTTGGTGGCTGGAGAGAAAATTAAAGAAGTTAATCTAAAATATAAGGAAGTAAATAACATTACATAAATACTTTTATAATTGCATATGAAGTTGCAACCACACTTATTCTGTTCCCTTAACACTCAAAGTGTGCCTTCATCTCCCAGTTCAGCTCATTCTAATGCAGTAACAAGACACAGTACTTTAACACACTATTCTTCAGTCAAGGGTTTACCACACACCACAAAACCTAGCCCTATTTTCAGAATAGAGCATCTATCCCTTTTTTAGTCCTCTATCCCAGAAATGGGCAGCAAAGCTGAAAATCCCACTGCAGTTCATCAGTTCCCTTCAGGTGAGTAGCTAGACATGAAATACACCTGAAGGAAACTGTCTACAATTCCTCTCTTTTACTTATAGTTACCCTTCTTTCTTCCTTGAAAACCAGAACTGCCCAAAGAAGCAGTATCAAGTACTGTGCAACCCTCTCAAGTGGAAAGGGAGCACATCCTTATTCTGGAAAAGCTCCTTCTTGCATTGTCAGCAACACACTAACCAAGTAAGACCCCACAAGACTTGTTTTTGTTTTTTGGTTTTTTTCTTTTCTTTTTTTAGTACTCCTACTGCTAAGATGATCTGTGATTGTGATGCCTTAAGTTTTAGCTTTCATATTTTTCAGACTCCGTACTGTCTTAGTAACTCTGAACTTCATATGAAGTGTTAGCAAGATCTCTTCACAGCTGAATTAGACAAAACAATTCTTTTCCAGCTGAGAACCAAGCTTCAGGCTACAGCTTCAGGCCCAAAAAGTACAAACCACAGCAAATTGATGAGAGCAATGTGAGAGGATGGGACTTCATAACCTGAAGCTGTAATTGGACAATTAATCCCAATATGTAAATAGACCAAAACTTAATAAAGTGTGAAAACTCATGACCGGTCATACATCTTGGGCAGAGCCACAGCAGGGTTCTGTACTGCCCAAGGTGCAGCCCTTGAAGGCCTTTTAAGAAACACCTGCTTTATTCCTTTAAAACTGTTTAGCCTCTGCTTCAGGTTAGCCTCTCTAGGCATCAACTGTGTAGTTACAAAGTGACCATGTTCCGTGACTTTCAGTATCAGGGCAAGCTCCTGTCTCTGCAGTAAAACAGCATTTACTTAGAAGCCACACTTCAGTGTCTTACAGGACCTGGCAAAACCTGTTTCTCCAACTTGTAGGAATGTGTAGGAGGAACTCGACAGTGATGGAGGCAGCTCAACCTCTCCTTACCTCACAGCAAATGGATGGACACCACCAACTTGTACTTTTCAAACCCCTAGTTAAAGGACAGTTCCAGCCTCTGTAATTGAAGAGCTATTACTTGTTAACACAGCTCAGTTACAGCTACTTAAGCAACCTGTGTACTTACTTGAAAAGGGTCCAGTCACCTACAGACAACTGCTTGCTAAAAACCTCACATACATGTTTTGGGGGTGGCAGGAACTCAGGAGGCAATAAAGGAAAACAGACTAGAGAATCTCCAGTTTAGAAGTTCACACCACTCTACCAGAGGCAAGACCACACTGTAAATTGTTACCTTCATCTACTCTACACCTGTATTCTTTTTTAAATATTCACAAGGAGATGATGGAGCCAACCAGACCTTTGGGCTCACGGCCCCTCAAGTAAGAGGGTCTGACAACAACAGTGCATTGTAGCACTGCTGCTATTATTACTACCAATAACAGGCCCTTTCCCATTGCCCTTTGAGAAGTGAAGTTTTTGGTCTTCTTTAATATACTTTTTAGTAGAAAATGTTCTTATTCAAAAGCAGTGACGTCTTAACATGACTGAGATACCACCTAGCAAAAAAGAGTCTGCCTGGTGCAACATGCATTCCCAAGAATTCTTGTTTACTGGAACAGAAAAACATTCCTTCAGTGCCAAACTGGCTCAGTAAACAGCGTTCAGCACCAGTATTTATAGCTGTGCTTTTAGGTTTAGTTTCATAGGGACATCACCACATGCAGACACCTCCTGCTACCACAATGGCATTGGCTACAAGACCTCCCTGCACTCACACAAATCAACAGGAGGGGCCAGGGGAACACAGAAATAGTGCAAACAGTACCTGCAGGTTTCAGCCTGCTTTGAGAAACAATGCCAGTACCACTGCTTCCCTCAACATCATCCCTTCCCTCCTCTGCAAAACAGCTCTGGAATCTGTCAGCCTACTTGAACCAGATTAGGAAGAAGCCTAGGAAGCATGACAAAAACCCTCAGAGGGGTCAAGAGGCTGGGGAAGGAGAGGCTGTCAAAACTCACTCTGTGGCCAGCTAGCTGCTGCTAAGTAGAGGAGTATGCACACAGTTTAAAAACAACATTGTTTCATGGGAGAGACTCCAATCTATTCCCCCTAGAACAGTGTGCTAGCAAAATTATACATCTACAGTCTCCCCTAAGTATCACTGTGGTTCAAAAAAAACTTCAGACAAAAGCATGACACTGAACATCCATGGCACAGTCACTGGTAAGCCTGAGCAGGGAAGTCTGGCAAGGAGGAGGACAAGCCCAGAGGAGAACACAGTAACCAGCTGAACTGATGAGTCACAGAAGGCACTTAGTGTGCTGACGTACATCCCACCAGCAAGTGGAAGCCCACATACTTGTACAAGATGCTGTCCTCTGACACTATCAGAGGAAACAATCACCAGCCACTCCTACCCATGACAAAATAGCCTTTTAACAAGGAGAGCCAAAGCTTCCTGTGACCAGCCAAAAAGAGAAAGTTGAGTAACCTTTACCCATATTCCTAGAAGCCAGACATCTGGATGCTTCAAGCAAGCATAAGATTTTGCTTCTAATGGGAACTCTGTAAAAGAAGGCTTAAGGGAACATAACTACACAGGTGACCATTAACAGGGACACTTGAGGTGGACTTTAATATAAGGCAATTTTCAATTAGCATTTACAGTGATCTTTTTCCTCATCATTCCTAATAAAAAGCTCGCCTAGCAATAAGGCCATTTTCCAAAACCATCACCACGGTGGTTTTCATTTTCCTGCTTGTTCAGGAAAGGTACTTCTACTTCACTTCCCCCCCACCCCTTCTCTCCAAGCAATAGGAATAGGTGAACAAGGTAAAAGCATTACCAGGAATAAAATAAGCCACATTAAGGCAAGAAGCAGCCAGATATACCAGCAGATATGGATGCGCTGATTCCTGTGTACTAATTACTGACAAATGAGGTAACGGGGGGAAAAAAAAATTAATCACACAAGCTGTGCCTTCAAGCTCTGCTTTGCTAGAATTCTTTCTAACTCCTCTCCAGAGAAATCCTTTACCTGGATTCTCTTTCTTGCAGCAAGACCTCAGTTCTCCCCTTCAGAAGAGAAGGTCCTGTGTATCCTTAAGGATATCTGGGACCCTACAATGTAAGCTTCAACTTTGCCTTTACCAAATCCTCAGAAGTTACACAGTTACAAACAGTACACCCCTATCGGCAGCAGCCTGCAGATTTGAAGTCCTGTCCTTTTCAACAGGTTGATTCTATTTAATCGCAATGAAAACGAGTCACACTTGCTACGCACTGGGCTTGAGCAGAGAGACGGCAACATGACATTTCGTTTGCCTTCTTACTGATAGTAAAGTAGAAGCCAAACCCCGCCCCTCCAAAAAAACCCTCAAAACAAACAAACCCCACTAAACCTGGAGGCATTACTAAAGCAAGATTCTTTATGGATAGAAAAGTAGTTCCAGGACCTAAACGTTAAGGAGAGGCACACAGGGTTTCGGGGGGCCGCCGCCGGCAGGTGCCGGGACGG